CTCCGGATCCGACAAAAACAACCCGTCAGGCCCTGGCATTCTCTTTGGGGCCGTGGTCAGTTAGAAGGCTCCTGGCAGACTTAGGATGGGAAAGCTCTTCTCTGTCAGTTGTCCCCCGTGTGGTTGCCCATCTGTGTGTTTTCCTTAGATTGCCACATTGCTGGGATTACAGGAATCAGAAGTGGGAACTGTTGAATCTGATTGATCTGGTCTAATACATTGACCTGAGCAATCAGTCAGGTTTGCCAGTGGCTGCAGCTTGGCATTTGGGAACCCGTGGGCGATGGCGGAGCAAGCTGCTAATTGGAGGTATAGTGCCACTAAATGTAGAGGTCCTGTTGGATACCATGGCAAAAAAAAAATCATTGTTAACCTCCACAAATATATCTAAACCCTTTTTTTAAAAAGTAAGTAGCCATCCCGCACCATGACCTAGATAGCTCTGGCTAGCCCGATCTCGTCATATCTCAGAAGCTAAGCAGGGTCACCCCTTGTTAGTATTTGGATGGGAGGCCACCAAGGAAGTCCACGGTTGCAGCGCGAAGGCAGGCCATGGCAAACCACCTCTGAATGTCTCTTGCCTTGAAAACCCGACATGGTTTCCGTATGTCGGCTGCTGTTTTGAAGGCATTTCCCACTACCAGCCATCAATGAATTCCATACATCGATTTATGCTTTATCTTAATAATAATCTCCTTTCCACATGGTAAATATAGCCATTGTGTATTAGAGATTATTTTCTCTCTCTTCCCACACAGGAAATAACTTGGTAAACTTCTGATCATGTCCCCTCCTGGTTAGCAGTTTTTCTTTTTGTATTTTTTTCATATCTGCATATGTGTGCGTGTGCGTGCATGGGTCAGTGTGTGTTCACCTGGACGTCATGGCGACCTCTGGTGACTGACTTTGTGTGCAGCTGAAAGTCATGGCGATCTCTGATGACTGACCCCTACTGGGGGCCTGGAGAGGTGGCTGAATTCAGAGAGGTGGCTGAATGAAGCCTTCCCCCTCCTCCCACCTCTGGTATTTCAAGGAAGTCTCCCATCCAAGTACTTGTCAGAGTGGACCCTGCTTAGCTTCCAAGGTCTGATGAGATCAGGTTTGCCTGGGCTATCAGGTCAGGGCTGTTAGCAGTTTTTCTTGATTAAAACCCACAGGAAGCTTACCTTATACCAAGCCAGCCCACTGGTCCACCTAATACGGTAGGGTCTTTTCTGACTGGTGGCGGCTCACCAGAGTTTCCGGCATTTTAATGGAGTTGCCAGAAATTGAACCCGAGAGACCTTCAGTGTGCAAAGCATGTCCTCTGTCCACTCAGCCGCACCCCCTCCCAAACTCAGGGCCAAAGTAGTTGAAGGAAATCACAGATCTCCTGATGTCTTTTTAAAAGTTGAAGTCGGACTAGGGTTGTGCAGGGAAGAGTAGGGAAGGTTAACTTTTCTACCCTGTGTCTTTGCCCGTCAAAGCCAGTTCCCCCCACACTGTTAATAGCACTTTAAAGAAAAAATACAGGTGCCTATTTCTTGCCAGTCTTTTTTCTTTATAAGGCTATATTAGCACAGGTGTGGCATGGGGGGACAAGGTTGGTTTTGATTACTGAAACCATGCAGGAGTTGAAGGGTTAACCCCCCCCCACACACACACACACACACACAGTTGACTGTAATTCAGTTTAACAAGAGACCACAAAGGTCTGGTTATAGTAGTCCCAGGGTCTGTTCTGTTTTGACTCAAACACGCCCCAATCATTTCAGCGTTTCTCCATAAGGAAGATGATGCATTTGGGTATGTTCTAAAATAGTTTTGGAGATGGGATGTTTGGGAGATCAGACCTGTTTCCATGATGCAGTTAGATGGCGAGGGGTCTGGAGACCAAGTCCTATGAGGAAAGGTTGAAGGTGCTGGGTATTGGTTACTCTGGAGAGGAAATGACTGAAAAGTGATATGATAGCCCCTCTTCAAGTATTTGAAGGGCTGTCCTATAGAGCATGGAGTGGATATGTTTTCTTTTGCTGCAGAAGGTTGGACCAGAACCAACGGGCTGACATTAAATCCGAAGAGTTTTCAGCCTAAACATTAGGATGAACTTCCTGACAGAGTGGTTCTTCAGTGGAACAGGCTTCCTCCGGAGGTGTTGGGCTCTCCTTCTTTAGAGGTTTTTAAGCAGAGGCTAGATGGCCATCTGACAGCACTGTTGATTTTATGGCTCACTGTGAATGTGGGCAGATTGTGAGAGGGGAGGCAGGAAGGGATGAGCCAGTGCTTGGCTCTTACGGCCCTTTCTTACTTATTTATAAATTTATAGACCGCCCTCCCCTGAGTACGCAAGGCTCGAGGGTGGTAAATAGCAGTAAAAAAATGCTCACAAGACAAAACAAGGCAAACAAATTGAATAGTATGGAATTAAAACATTTTCAGGTGGCGCTAAAAATGTCAAGATTCTAGATTGTGCCACTATCTTGCAGGAAGGGTAGAGATGAAGAAGGGGGAAGGCCAGATAGGATGGTACCTGTCGCCAGGGGTCGTTTCGTACAAAAAGAGCTAAGGGAACTCATTAGCATAACTCATTAGCATATGCCACACACCCCGACATCACCGGAAGTGTGTCATAAGGCCACACCCCCTGACATCACCGGAAGTGTGTCATGAGGCCACACACCCCGCCCCCAATGACCCCAGCCGCCGCCACCGGCCTTGCAGCTTCACTGCCGAGCCCCATGAGGGGCCCGGCGGTGGACCTGCAAGGCCAGCGGGAGTGCAAGGAAGCCCCGCGAAGGCCCTCCCTGGCCCCAGGCAGGCAGGGGTGGGGAGAGGCAGGGAGGAAGCAACTTACCCTCCCTCTTCTCCTGCCTCCTCCTGGCCGGAAGCAGGGGGCGGGGCTTCGTCATGTGCCCCGCCCCCCGTACCTCACCCGGGGGAACTGTGTTCCCCCGCGATCCCCCCCGAAATGACCTCTGCCTGTCGCTATCCTCAACCGAAAGCCTGGTGAAACAGGTCTGCCTCGCAGGCCCTGAGGAACGGCATTAGGTCCCACAGGGCATGGATGTTACCCAGCAGCAGGGTCATTTCCTAGAAAAAGAGGTGCAGGAGCTCATTAGCACAACTCATTAGCATAACTTATTTGCATATGCCACACCCCCTGACATCACCGGAAGTGTGTCAGAAGGCAACACCCACCGCTCAGGCTCCACTGGACTGTTTTGGATGGCTAGCTATTAAGGGGGGGGGACGGACGTGCAGATCAGTCCTGGCAGAGGAGGGAGAGCTTGTACCTGAATAAAAATTGGTCTTAAAGGTACCACTGGACTGTTTTGGACGAGGGGGGGGGCTCTGCAACTTACCTGGCTGCTTCTTGCACTGACTGAGGGCTGCTGGGAGCAGGGGGTGGGGCTTGTTGCATGTGCCCGCCCCCTGGGCTCTTTACTGCCGGAGCTCCGCTCCTGTGCGCTCCTGCAGGAGATGACCCCTGCCCAGCAGAGAGTTCCACCAGGCAGGAGCCTGGGCTGAAAAGGCCCTGGCTCTGGTCGAGGACAGTCGGACGTCTTTTAGTCTGGGGATCACACCAGTAGGTTTTTTTCTGCAGGGCGTAGCGCTCTTTGGGGGACAGACCAGAGGAGGCAGTCCCAGAGATACGTGGGTCCCTGGCCGCTTAGGGACTTGAAGGGTAACACCAAAACCTTGAACCTCACTCAGTACTCCATTGGGAGCCAGTGCCCAGGGTAATGCCAATCACAAGTTAGGGGTCAGGAAGGAATTTTCCTGCAGGCCAGATTGGAGGTTTTTTGCCTTCCTCTGGGCATAGAGCAGGTAGCACCAGGGGAATGGGCAGGGGGGAGGCAGCTGGGAATTCCCTGCATTGTGCAAGTGGTTGGACTAGATGACCCCTGGGGTACCTTCCAGCTCTATGTTTCAAGATAAGTTTAAAGTAGTGGCTTAGTGGTCTTAGGAGGAATTCTTGTCTGGTTAGAGTGGAACTAGGGAGCCATTGCCCCTTCGAGCCCTCTCTTTTTTAAAAACAACAACAACAACCAAAAATGCTATAAGCTATATCGTATCGATGAATGGAGCACTGATATGCTACAGGCATTTCTTCTGACTGAACAGCTGTGAGGAAGTGTGCTGGTGGCAGATCAGTGTTGGATCTGATGATACACTACAGCCGTGCACGTGTTACAAAAGGAACTGGAACCCAGTGTACTCTCACAGTGTTGTGAGCTTCTTTTCTTTTGAATGTACATCTGTTTGAATCCTGAGAGATGCCTATGGCGTAAGCCCAATTCTCACAGTTTTTCACGTGGTAAAACCGCCGTGAAGCAACATCCCTACTGTTAGTTTTTGAGGGTTTTTTTGCTTTTTTTATGAGGAGCACGTTTCTTTCAAACATGTCCCCCCATGGTGACAAATGGTATTTAGTTCCCCATTGGGTCTAGAATGCAATATCCCACCATATTTGTTGTGCCAATGAACTTTCCCTTGTCGGAAAGCAAGCAGGAGAACTGAGCACCAATCTGAAGACATGTCCTCTTTCATTGGTTTCCAAACTGTCCCTTTAGGGGGAGAGCCCTTTCTACCTTGACCAAGGCGTTCCTCAAACGTTTGCTGTGGAAAATTCTAGAATATACTTTAGAAGTGCAGCTAGGCCTTTTGCCATCACGTTTTGTTCCACATGCTCAAAACTGCCCTTAAATTACAGAAAAAGGAAAGATTGGCAGTGGCGAGCAGGCAGCCATCTTTCAGAGAAGCGTGTCCGCTGTTACTAAGCTGCTTCGTGAGGAATTCTCGATACGCTTCCATTGTACCTCAGGACTCCTCAAGCACAGCTTGAAAGCCATTTGTGCCCTAGTAGCCAGCTTGATCCCTGCTTTCCCGACATCCTGTTGTCATCCTTTTTTTCCCGTCTTGGCCTCAAAAGTGTGTTTCTTTTTCTGCTCTTTTTTTTTCTTTCTGCCATGCGCTCTTGTCTGTCTCTCTCCTCTTGATGCTCTGTGGGGAACGGGCAGATTCTGAACAAGTTGACAAGAAAGGTGAGTGTTCAGATCTACGTTCAACATCTTCCCGGAGTATTTCTTGGAGGGGGGGGACTGGGGGGAGAGGGAATCACGTCTCAAGCAGTGAAATCTGCTCTTCCAGTTGGGTTCTGGAGGGCATGCTGACATCTTTTTTTTTTCCCTCTGAAGCTTTATGCTGTAGCTTTTTACTGCACTGCTGCTTTTTAAATTTCTAATTATGGCTGGCTTGTTCTTAACCCTGGCTTTGGTTTCTGCGGCTGGCTGCTGTTTTTAAGAAATCGTTGGGGTTTTTTTATTTTAAATTTCATGTTGTTAGGCTGCCTTCATGCCATTTTGTGACAGAAAGGCAGAATACAAATCGTTTTAAACCATTAAGACAGTAAGCTTCTGTTCCTCACCAGATTCCTTTCTCTGCAGCTTCTGGACTGGCCGAATATGACTACCCAACCAGCGACAAAGCCTTGCTCTATGAGTATGAGCGGAAAGTAAGTCCATCTTGAGGTGAATGCAGACATACCTTCTGTGTTCTATTCACTGAGTGTCCTGTGGGGCAGTTTTATTTTAAAAAGGGGTTGCAAGTTTTAGAAACTGTGGCGGTGGTGTTGCCAAACTCTGCCTTTCCCATATACAGAGGGATCTTAACACAAAGGTGTCTCTCAAAGTAATGATTCCCAAAGAGGACAATGGGGTGTTGTGGTTTCAGTATTGGACTAGGATCTGAGAAATCCCTGCTTTGCCACAAAACTCGCAGGGTGTCCTTGGGCCAGTTACAGTCTAATCTTCCTGACAGGGCTGTAGTGAGAGTAAGCTGCGGGGAGCGGAGAATCGTCTGCCCTTCTTTGAGTTTCTTGTGTGTGAGATGTGCTGTCGAGTCACTCACAATTCATGGCATCCCTATGAATTAATGTCCTCCAAAATGTCCTGTCAATAAAGGCGTGATAGAATGTGAATCCTGAGGGGTTGCCGTTGTATGGAGGGCTGTACCACTTTTGCGCCTGCTGGCTCTGAATTGTCTCTATCAGGTATGAAAGGAGATGTTTAAGAGGGGAAAGATCTGGTTCCAGTGGCCAGGGCCTACATATCCTCTGTGTGGTACAGAAAGGAAGGACGTTTATTTACCCACAGTCCTCTTCTGTCTCCCTGTTACAGCCACCAGCCCTTGATCCTTAAAGTCATTTTCTCTCCCTCACCATAGGTTAACGTTTCTGCCTCGGACCTAAAAGGCCTGGTGTACAAATCCCAAGAGATCCAACGGGACGAGTTGGTAAGTGGCTCTGGAGCCAGCCCGAAACAGCTTCACCTCGCCTTCCCACCTGGCCAGGTGTGCATCCCCAGTCCCATATCTTCCTGTTCTGTGTGTTTCCCCTTCCCCTCCATACTTGTCCATGCAAACTCAACCCACCCATCTGTGCAAAACTGGATGAATCAGAGTCTCTGTCCCACCTTCTTTTGTGTTGAAAACAACTCAGCAAGAGTCAGTGTGGTCTAGTGGATAGTGTCAGACTAGGACTCCTGGGTGACCTGGGTTCAAATTCCCACTTCTACTCTCAGCCTGGCCTACCTCACAGGGCTGTTTGGGTGAGAAAACGAAGGAGGAGAGAGCAGTGTCCTAAAAATTGCTTTTGAGTCCCAACTGAACTGTGGGTAGAAAAGAGGGATATAAATAAATGCACAAACCAAAATGCATGAAAAAACTTGGCGCTGCTTCCTCACTTTCCAGTTGTTCAGGCTGTCCCAAACACTTCTGTTTGATCACATGTGGGAATTGCATGAGAACGGGAGCTTAATTGTGTTAATTCCTTAAAGGGGGTTTGCATTTTGAAAGTCAGCCAGTCGGAGGCTTTCAGCGACATGGCCCACTCCCTACCTGGAACGTGATTTGGTGGCAGCTTGAAACACAGCAGTGTGGGCAGGCTGATCTAAAGTTTTAAGTTTTGGTGTGAACTGCAATAGTTCCCAGGACTTTGGTCATGGCACTCTGTGAATGTTTGTATGTGTGTGCGCGCGCATGCATGCACATAAAAATGCACTTTTGGAGTGGGGCAGCTGGTTGCGTAATGAGAACTGTCAGTGTGGTGCAGTTGTAGCAAAACTAGAGGGCTACACCAGTCTCCAAGACGAAAGAAGGCAAAGACAAATGCCGATGGTGCAATGGGGAAATTAAACTGTATTGAGGGAGCACTAAAAAAAGCTCCTACGCTTTTCGCAGTAGCATTGTCCGGGGATCCTTAAATATGTTTATCTCCCCGCTTTCCTGACAGCTGCGGAATTTCTTTGCTTTTTTTCATCGGAGCAGTTAGGGTGTCATACTGGGATCCAGGAGACCTAGGTTCGAATCCCTGCTCTGCCAATAAAGCTTGCTGGGTGACCTTGGGCCAGTCATGCACACTCAGCCTCACCTACCTTGCAGGGTTGCTGTGGTGATCAAGTGGAAGAGAGGAGAACAATGTAAGCTGCTTTGGGATCCTCATTTGGGGGGGGGAGAGAGAGAGAGAGAGAGAAAGAAAGACAAGGTATAAAATAGGGTTGCCAACCTCCTGGTGGTGCCTGGAGATCTCATGCAATCACACCTTCTCACCAGAGCAGAGAGGCCAGTTTCCCTGGAGAAAATGGCAGCTCTAGAAGGCAGATGCTCCAGCATTATACCCAGCTGAAGACCCTCCCCAGGTTCCACCCCCAATCTCCAGGAATTTCCCAACCCAGAGTTGGCAACCATAGGTGTAAATAAAGATATGTAAATATATGTAGCCACTTACTTGCAAATGCACTACCATGTGGAAACACACACACACATACACCCCGCAAGCTCCGGAGGCACCAAGGTTACAGAACCTGGTTTTTTCTGGCACCTGGGGTTTCTAGAATCACACCTATTAATTAAAAGAGCCGTACTGGCAACTTCCTCATTCTCTAGGCAAACCACGGAGGCTCTGGCTCCACCAAGTTCTCCTGCACAGCCGTAGGGCACATGTCTGATTCTCCCCGCCAAACAGATGTTTGGCATCCTTTGCTTTGACAGTGCCAATCTCTTGGTGTGTGTGTTGGGGGGGGGGGAAGAGGTGAAGCCTCCCAGCCCACCTCCCTGCCAGAAAGGGGGAATCGCTCCTGATAAAGGTGGCAGGGCTGACCATCTGTTTGGCAGGTGTGCGTGAGGTTGAGCAAAGGAGTCAGATTGCCCGCACGGGAAAGGTTTGTTTTTTGGTGTTTTTTGCTTCCCCTATCTCCTTTTTTTGGAAGGGGGGGGGTTTGCACGTGTGGACAACCTCTTCAGCACACACAATCCAGGCTTCCAAGCACAGAGCGCCTCAACCCAGGCAGCTGACGCTTCAGCCCTCTGACATTGGACCCCCTTTAGGACTGGCAGAGGAGAAAATTCCATCTGCTCCGGGTGATTTATGATCTTAATCTCTCTGCCTTTTCTTTCCCCCCCTTTCCCACTTTGCAACGTCTTCCGAAGACGATTCAGTGTGTGTCATTCCTGCAGATTTATCACCTTCACTGAGGAATGGCTCGGGTGTCTCTCCCGCCCCCTGCTCCCCACACCCCCCCTGTCTTTTCTGTCTACGGCAGATGCAAAGCACTCATTTAACTTCTCCCGCAATATTTCTGTCTGTCTTAAGTGCTCTTTTTTTTTAAACATCTTGATGGTCTAATGACCCGAGCTATTCTCCTTGGCGGGCTTCCTCCTCCTAATGCATCCCTTTTAAAATTCTTACCGTGAGCTTTTAGAGCTCTACCAAGATGCCGCCAGTTTCTCCTTTATCCCCCCCCCCGCCCTCGCCCTTCACACACATACCTTATTAGACTTTATTATTATGTTTAAACTGAATTTCAGATCTTGAGGGTCTTTTATTTAGATTGCGTTCCGCCTTTATGGAGAGTTTTAAAATACTAATCAGTCCTCTTTTGGCTCTTTATGGCGAAAAGAATTTTTTTAAAAAATACATAACCCTCTGTTGCCTTATTAATGGCATAAATCCGACATGAAATTTGGGATCTGTGTTCAAAATCCCCCAATGTGCGATCTGGCTGCCAAAAGCAGCTGCAGCCGCCTCCCATGTGGGGAAAGGGAGAGGGGTTTATTCTTTTTTTCCAGATAGTTTCCCTGATTCAAACGTCATTTGCAGCTGCTTTAAACCCTTGTTTTACCCCACATGGATTGCAAAGCAACGGGGGAGGGAGGTTTTTGGTTTGGAAAATGGTGCCCCTCCCTCCCAGCACTGTGACCCCCGTCTGTATTGTAGGTTTCCTTTGGCAGTTTTTTGCAAGCAGATTGCAGGGGGGGGGGGCTTGGTCATTGATTCCCTGCCATGTCCCATGCAGGAGCCGATCTACTATGAAACTAATGAAGCTTAAGCTTCAGGGCCCCTAATCCTGGAGGGGCCCCGAATCAACTTTTTTTTAAAATGAGCGAATTTTTCAATAAAGTTGATGGAGTTTTTTAAAGTTTGTTATTAAAATAAGGCTATTTTAGTGACAGAATCATAAGCCAATGGGTTGAAGTACTCAATATTGACCTTAGAATATGCTCTAATACCTGTTCCATATGGCTTCAAAATGTCCTTGTAATTGGTCAGATTTCAAAATTGCAGCACCTGAACCCCCAGCTGTGTGGGCTCGCTGAGCTCACCAGAATCTATGCATAGCCTACATTTTGGCAGCTGGATCCTTGAATCCTTCGTTGGTGCACGGCTTAATGGTTCTACTGCTCAGCCCTTAGCCAATCAGAAGGGGCCCCCATAACAGTTCAAGTTTCAGGGTCCCAAAAATGTAAGTCCGCCACTGGTCCCATGACATTTGGTCTTTACTCTCCTATAACTATCGGCCTTGTTAGTGGGGCAGGTTGCTGCAATGAAGGCTTCTCACGTTTGAAAGATAGTGCATGACCTTGGTTCTTTTCCCCCAAACCCCCCACAAAACTTGGTATATTTTTGGTGACAGAGAGTGAATATAAGAGACCCACTGTGGTGTAGTGCTGAGAGTGTCAGACTAGGATCTGGGAGACCCAGGTTCGAATCTCCACTCCGTCATGGAAGCTTGCCGGGTGACCTTGGGCCAGTCACATACCCTCAGACTAACCTACCTCATTGGGTTGTTGTCAGGGGTTGTTTCGTAGAAAAAGAGCTAGGGGAACTCATTAGCATAACTCATTCGCATATGCCACGCCCCCTGACATCACCGGAAGTGTGTCATAAGGCCACACCCCCTGAATGCGCTCACCTGTTTCGGGAGAGGGGATCAAAGTGTAATACAACCCTCCTCCGAGACTTGATCACACCAATCTCAACTCTCTCTTGGGTCTTGATGCCTGCCAGTCATTCCCCCTGCCTGGGGGAAGCCGCGTTGGACCAAAATACAGTCCAAACTGCTGTAAGGAACACCCGTCCACCCTGAGCACTTACAGGGTGTGTCAAATCGCCATTTTACCCCGACTGGAAGCAGGGGGCGGGGCTTCGTCGTGTGCCCCGCCCCCCACACCTCACCCGGGGGAACAGCGATCCCCCGCGATCCCCCCTGAATCGACCCCTGGTTGTTGTGAGGATAAAACAGAGGAGAGAAGAAAGATGCAAGCCACTTTGGGTCCCCACAGGGGAGAATGACGGGGTATCAATAAAGTAACATTTTAAAAATATTGCGAAGATGTGAGAGAGAGACCCATGGGTTGGGTCCAGTGGAGGAAACGTCCACCAGCAAAATGGGATTTTCTCCTCACCCCTCATCTTGCGTGTGTTTATGTGCCGTCAAGTCACTTCTGACTTATGGCGACCCTCTGAATTAATGTCCTTCAAAGCGTCCCTGTCCTTAACAGCCTTTCTCAGATCTGACCGTGGCTGGGGGGCCCCTGGCTGCCTTGACTGAGTCCATCCATCGCATGCTGGGTCCAGGGCCGGCCCTAGCATATTTTGCACCCTAGGCGAGGATCCCTTCTGGCGCCCCCCGTGCGCCCCCCGTTCAGAGCCAGCAGGGGGCGCTTTTGGCACGGGGGTGGTTGCAGTTTGGTGCCCCTAATGGCTGGGGCGCTCTAGGCGAATGCCTAGGTTACCTAGTTCGCGAGCCGGCCCTGGCTGGTCTTCCTCGTTCCCTGCTTTTCCTGGCATTGTGGGCTTTCCTCTCCATCTTACGGCAGCCTAAAGGGCTCCCCAAAATGCCGGGCCCCTGGGAACAACAGGGGACTCCCCCGCTCAAATGCAACAAAAGGCGAATCTGTAGTGGAAAAAAGGATTCAGCAAAAAGCTGTCAGATATTTCCACTAACGCTGGACCC